TAGTGTGTGTGTGTGTGTGTGTGTGTGTGTGTGTGTGTGTGTATGCATGCATGCATATACGTTGCACGCGCGTGTGCCGATGACACACGCAAGCAGGGCTTGCGTGTAGCTACCGGGTGTCTCGGAATCGTCGTTTCTTGCTCTTCTCAAAGAATTTACGATTCATTTGCAATGCGAAACGAAAACATTTTTGGATGAATATGTTGCGCGAATATATTCTTTTCCAATTATAATTATATTATAATTATAAATTATATTTCTGAAAATTAAAAAATCTATTTCATTGCGCATAAATTATTCATGTGTTAATACATGTTTGTTAATTATACGTAAAAATTATACTTAAAAATTATGTATTTTTTTAAAGTAGCACGTAAATTTATAAATTGTGAGGAAAATTGTGTTTAGTAATATTTTTTTTTACTCGAACCTTGGAAGAAAACTCAAATTGACCGTCGAGCTTCTTAGATAAAAGAAAGTGCGATTTTTGAGACACCCCGTACACGATGTTGCGTATACGAGCGCGTATACAGGCGCCGCGGGAGGCATGCGTACGTAATGGGCATCGGCCAGGCCGTTAGCGCGAAAATTGTTTATTTAAAGCCCGAGCAAATGCACGCGCGCACGGGGATGGTCGCGCGTGCGCCGCACCGGTGTGCACGCATCGGAAATTGCGTGCGTAAGAACGGCGGATGTAAACGCGCGTGAATGCGCCGTGTGTCTCACTACGCGAGTCAAAATGATTGGCGTGCAGGTTTATCTCATCCTGAAATTGCCTGGATCGTTTAAGTTTAAGAGAAAAGTGAGGAAATTGCGAGTAACGTGAAATGCTGGAGAAATTGAAACAATCGAGGAATGCGGAGGAAATGTCAGGAAAATCGCGAGAAATTTACGGAATTTCTCGCCGCAATGGACGCGATGAAGATAAGAGAAGAAACGATATCCAACTACGATTCACTGTTACCACCTGTTATTAATATTAAAGAATAATAATGTTAACGCGTATGTCGAGTTGAACTCTTCGATCGCACGGATTACAAAGATTACAATCTAGTAACTAGTGTAACTACCTAATGTAATATCTTCTTTGCTCAGACAGTGCGTTCTTCCAGTTTGCCCGCATAAATAAAGTAACAACGAGTCATAGTTATTATGCTTGTGATTAACAATGCGTTAATAGTACCGCACCTGCGTTTACTTATGTTCGCGTTTTCCCCGATATGTCTTATATTGTCATTACGTTGGTACGGGCAAATATTTGATCGCGATACACTCGGACGAAAGCAAACGCCTATGGCTATTATGGCAGTGTAATAATCGGGCGCGTAAACCTGCAGGTAGCCGTGCGTTTATATTATATATTACGCTACATTACATTAAGCATGTTGTGTGCGTACAGCGCGCCCACCGCTGATAAGCGCGTAGAGGACCACGTAAATCGCGGGGGCCCCGGCAGCGATACGTCGTGCATGGGGGCGCATTAATACGCACGTGCTCGCTTGCGTGCGTGTGCTTCGGCAGTTGCATCAAAGATAGCCAGGGATAATCGTTATTCGTCGTCGCCGTCAATCGGGCCGCGCGTGAATTTCAGCGAGAAAACCAGGAATTTCATCAAGCAACTGCGATCCATCTTCGGTCGCGATTAAACTTTTGACCAATGCGTCACTTTGGCCCTCTTTCGATCTCGATACATACATTAGACAGCTCCCTATTCAATGTATTCGTGTTATATAATATTTATTTTGAATTTTTTTTTCTTTTTTTCTTTTTTTTTAGTATCACATAAATATTTCCCCCGCCGATTAGTACCTCTCTGCTTTTAGCGGAAAAATTGTCAAGCCACGCGGGGACTACGGCACAAAGGACCCAATTATTTCGGCATACTTCTCCCGGGAAGTGAGCTTTTGTATGAAATTGATGAAGATTTTTATGATGTCCGCGCTGTGCCGCATATAAATCATATTAAAATGTATTAATCGATGTTGCGAGCAAGGCAAAAATAAACACATAACGTATGTACGTGGCGGGAGGGGGGGGTATGTACCGTATTAAAACTGTAGGTTTTACATCCGTGCCGTGGGTGATTTATGCGCGTTGCAACGGCTCTCGCTGTGTGCTCATCGATGCAGGCTTCGCGATTTCAGATCCCGGGTTCCCCGGTGCAGAAAAAAGCGCGAAATGAGGGCTCGATCGGGTCATGGAGGTCGCTAGGCTCTCGACGGGCTTTTCCCGGATCCACGAATTTTACTCGTGCTCGTCAGCGTCGTTTTAGTTTATTTACGAATCCTAGCCTGCACGTATTGCACACGCAGAATCCTGATTAATTAATCGCATTAATCAACGCAAAAAAAGTTAGTCCTATTAGGTTGGTGTTTATGTTTGGAGTGTTTCTCGACCTTTTTTACGCGGATGATGAATCGCCCCCGATTTTTTTTTCGGAACGATATGGCCCTGAACGATAATCGCTCCTGGCATTCTCCTGCCTCCCATTTTTCTCACCGACTTTGATTTTCTCGTTGACTTGATAATTACTCTCCTCGAAGCCGCGTCTAAGACGAGGCGTGCGCGCAAAGCGCGCACTCGATTTTCCCGGGGCGGGCATAACGTTATGCAATTTTATGCGGAAACTTCGAGAGACGCAAAGGCGAGGCTCGCTTGCAAGACTATGGTAATGGTGTGGGTTCGTTAGCGCCACGATTGTCGGACACATTGGCGCTCGTTTATACGGATGTTCGGAATTCGAATTGCGAATTCATGCCTTAGTAGTAGTAGTAGTACCGTCAGTGGTTACAAGACTCTTCCTTTGCACGCGTTTCCCATTTATCATTATGACTTGGTAGTTTACCGCTTTCATCATAAAATATACTGTCTTTTTTATTTTCCTGTTTATGGCCCTTACTCGATCGCTTATGTTTAAGATGAAAATTAGCCAATATCAGATAAATTGATCGTAATAATAAACTTAAAATATTAACTTAAAATATCCTCATTTTGCTAATTAATGCTATGTTGTTATTTTATGATTAGGTCGTAATTCTTGATGAAATGAGCATCAAATGATAGCCATACAATAAAGATAATGTCACAGATTAATAGAATAACTTACAGAAATGATTTCCAGGTCCAGCGTAATGATGTCCCTTGTAAGCTGCGAACAGTCCGGGATTGATACCAATCTGTAAAGTGAAACAAACGATTCGTTAAAATATGTCAAATATTTTTAGATCATCTTGTGGCACTTGCAACAAACTATGCAATAAACTGGACAATAATCTGGACAAATCGCGATAAACATTTGCATACGCATTTACGTTAGTTGCAGACACAATTTTAAGTTTTATTGTTATTTTAATTAGCCACGTTGGCAATACAAAAACAAACGGATGTTCTTAAGTCTCTCGCGTCGACATTGCTGTATTTATTCCTCTTTGAAAACTCTTTGGATTCCCGACGTCAATCGCCTAGAAATTATTACTCATGCTTATTTCCAACTTATTTCTCTGCTTCGAAACGGCAAAATTATTGTCTCTTCGTATCTTCGATTTTCCGCCGAGTTTTTCCAGACGAGGAAAAACGCTCCGAGAGACGAGTCGATCGCGTCACGCGTCGTTGTCGATGTAATTAATTTCGCTTTCTACCGATTGTCAAAGCTAAGACCAAGAAAAACGTTCGTTTTATCGATGTTTCTCTCGTTTAACACGTAATAAAAAATGCAGGTGTAAATGGGAAACGGGAATCGATTGTAAATCTATACAACACTGTTAATTAACGCAGTCCGTGGCTTGATTATGTATATAGATGCAATATGACGAAAACTAAAGGCAAATTATGCCGATAGCTTGATTTTAATGAAAGTGTTTTAATGAGCAAAACTTTACCGAGTTCATAAGCATTTCTTTAGAAAAGAATATTTTTAATTCGGCGGAGATATTTGGCGTACGATTGTAATTATAAATTAAAAAAAGGCAAAAAAAATGTATAATAAAATGAAGCATATATTATGGAAATATAGTTTAAATGTCTGTCATATGCATAATGTTTAATTTAGCTCCCAAAGCTTCTGAAAAAGGCACGCTCGACGAGAAATTGCATGTATATATATCCATATTATATGCAACGAAATTAATTCCACCATTACGAGGGGCAATACGTACTTCAATGAAGCGTTTTTCATTTGCAAAATACAAAATTCCAAGTTAGCCAATCAAGTTATGTTTCGTAAAAGCTTCTGTTTACCGTCTAATACTTCAGCATTTCTCTCATTTATAAAAGAAATTTATTAAATATAATTAAAAGCTAATATTCTGAATAGGCGCGTTATTCATCGACGAATAAAAACGGGACGATTTGCATCTCGGCACAATTCTGTTTTAAGAATTCATTTATCGTCTCTTACTTTCGATACTCTTTTTCCAATTTTACTACTATGATTTCCTATGAATACAACCGCCTCGGCAAATTGCGGTAAAACAATATTTTTCAAAATAAAAAAATGTACTTGAAACTTTTGTACAAATAAAATATAGCGTGATAATTTCCTAATATTAAAATTAAAAATCTTCTTTCAAACTCTTACAAGTTTTTGAGAATGAAATATCGAATGAAAATTTGTCTTCTTTTCAATTTTATAATAATTCTAATATCATTGAAAAATAATTGCATTATTATTACGTAATTTTATCTTACTCGATTTTGTTAAATAATATTAGCGGTTATTTTAATCCATTTATGCTTGGTTAATTTTCTACGTTTTCTCTAGCAGAAAGGCTTTCCCGTTTATCATTCCGTTTTTCACGTAAACTGAATTAATTAAACTTAATCTCTCGCACACGCAACGATACGCCGCACTTTCGTATCTGCACGGTGTCTCTAAATTGGAGGGAAAGAAAGAGGGAGAAAAGGGATCGATTTCTTTCCCCGTTTCGCGTACGACTTCACGTGCGCGTTTCTTACTCGCGATTATGCAACGACGGCGCGGCGGGAGGGGGGCGGCGGAGGAGGAGGCGCAGGTGCGGCGTTGGTACCTGTTGCACAACCGCATTATCTTCGCTCCTCGCTCCGCCGGTTAGGTAATTAATAACGACAAAGTCCAAGGATACGTGATGTGCGCGGCCGCGCGCGAGCACCATTAGACGCGCATCTCGCGCGCTATTAAGCGCCCCCCTCCCCCTCCCCCCCCCTCCGTCTTCCTCTCCTCGCCGATGCACTCTCGGGCGATCTCTCTCCTTGCCTCCCTCTCCCTCTCCCTCCTCTCTTTTCCCCGACTTGCAACTGACCTTTTCGCAAGTGCAAGGTGCGCGCGAGGGAGCTAAACCGCCGCCGGGGAATCTTGTGTCGTAACTTATCGACGTTTATCTCGCGCCTAGCCACGGCGACGCGACGCGTCCGGTAAATAGAGATTAACATTCACCGCGCAACAGAACGGCCGGCATACTCCTCGGGATAATTGCATGACAAAGTGCACGTCTGCGAGGCCCGCGTGCGTGTGCGCGTTCCATTAAGAATCGCGACGCGTCCACGAGGTACGAGAGAGGATCGGCGGCTGATTAGGAGTTTGAATTCTTCTCGCCTCTGTAGCGCTTCATTGAACCCCCCCCCTCCCTCCCCGCCCTCGGGGGATGTTATTATGAATCGTTCGTTGTGAAAACAACGCGCTTGTTAAGATAATTAAGTGGAGGTATATGGAATAGAGGCGATGCGCCCCGCGTGAATTTCTAAATTCTAAATTAAGCGATCTGGAAATCGAGAATCTATTTCTCCGACGGCGCGGCGGGTACTTTTACTCTGAAGATTTTTTTTTAGTTAAAAATTAAGTAATCCACATGTTGAAAATGTGACGAAAAGCCAAGGAAGGCATGGTTGATCTTTACTTTCGATACTCTGTTACTTTTTAACCAGTTTCCGGATTAAATAGAGACATCTCTAAAACGTGGAGTACGCAACGCATGCTTCACGCGCCTGCTGAGGAATCCCTGCGTATCTCTGCGATTCGGATAATGCATTTCTCGATCGCACCTTCGATTCCGATGAGCAGGTAAGGGGAAAGGGGGGAGGGGAGAGAGAGAGAGAGAGAGAGAGAGAGAGAGAGAGAGAGAGAGAGAGAGCACGATGACGTATATCGCACCGTCAAAATCGCGTTATATTAGTCGCGTACGAGCGAATCCTCCTCCTGCTACACACCCCACACTCTTCATGCGTAGGTACGCGTGTGTTTGCGTGTGTCTCCATCCCCATCCCCCGCAACTCGCCGTCGACATAAAGTACGTATCGCATTAGCGCGTTAACGCCAATGCGTTAGCCGCTCGGCCGGCGCCGAATGGCGGCCGGGATAAACGAGGATAAAATGACGGGCGGGGGTGGCCACGAGGTGGTGGTTGGACGTGAGGAAGGGTGTGGAATTGTCACCGATTGAAAACAACGCGCGTCGCTCACGTAGGAACGGAACACAGCGCGGAAGAGAGACGAGTAGAATTGTGAGAGGAGAGAAGAGGGCGGTGGGACAAGGGAGACGGGCAAACAGGCGAGGGGAGGGACGGGGGGGGGAGGTGTTCGCGCCGGGGGTGCACCAGGGGGTGCATTCTATGGGGAGCAACGAACAGTGTCCCGCTGCGTTCGATTACAACGTCGGGCGTAATAACCGAATTGCCCACGGCCCGTTAAAGCGTTTACACCGCTTGACGGATGATCGACCACGGTGACAACTCGTTTCGGGTAATATATGAATATGGACCGTGGAGCGCGTTAACAGACTCTCCGGATGAAAATGGCCGACGGCGTTCGTGCCTTATTTTGCGATAAATAACGCACGTGACCTTCTCGCGGGAAGAAAATACAGGAAACGATCTAGATCCCAGCGCGCCAGCTTTCTTTCATTCCCTTGTGACATTTCAGATGGTCGAAAACTCGCGAATGACCCAAATTACGTTTATTGCAATATCGTGTTAACTCGAGAAATTCAGCAAGCTTCAGAATCTATCCATTGAGTAACGTGAAATAGTACGTACAAAAAGAATATACGTGTGTTGTCGCAGAAATTTAATTTTTAATATTTGTACGCTAAATTAATCGTCAAACTAACTCGAATGATGCGCTCTTCAGTCATCGCGATACTACATAATGGCGCGTGCTGTCAAAAATGTGACAATCTCATTATCCGAAAGAGAATCGGAGTAGAATATAAATCAGGCTACATTGTGGGGATGTTGTGATACGATTAAAATACGGAAATCGTTACGAGCCCCTCTCTCTCAATTCCGTCATTTAAGTCACCCCAATTTTGATAACGACGGCCGCATATCGGATTATAACAATCACTCGTAATGACCATGATGCTCACCCGTTAAACTGTTTATACCCGTTTACACCGGTATCGGGTGATCGATCAACGCGCGGCGGATCGTCGCGTTTGTAACGAGAACGTAATTCCCATTCTCTCGCTTGCATTCAATAAAGATCACGCTAACGCGCGGTGACGAAAATGACACGTACGTAGAACAGAAATTGTGCCTGAAATTGTTTTCGGATTTCAGTCGATCGCAATGTCAATTCTTTATCCGCTCGCGGATTCAGCTGACTGACGGACAACTTGACTTATTTATCAATCCAATACTTTTTATTTTACGAGATTAACTCTTTTAGCGATTCAGTTTCACATTCCCGAAAGTATATTTTGTTCCGTTGGACAATTAATAACTGACTCCTTGTTGGTTTCGCAAAGTCAATTAAGCTCTTAACCCCTAATTAGTTTTGGTCTTCCCTTTAGTTCTCTCTAGTTCTACAAAAAGACGAGGAGTCAATTAAGGTTTAAGTTTCCCAACATTGGCGAAATTGGTCCGTGTGGTCGACTAGTTTCTCTCTCTCTCTTTCTCTCTCTCCCTCCCTCCCTCCCTCCCTCCCTCCCTCCCTCCCTCCTCCCGCCTCGATTCTCTTTCTCTTTACTCACGGAACGCAACGACCGGCGTGATAACCGAATCGCGTACGGATCATTAAAGCGATTAGACCGGCTGTTGTGGAGGCGGCGATTGCCATTTGTCGTTGCCGCGTGCAGGGAACCCTCGCGTTTTCGCGCGGCGGTGACTCCAAGATGGATTCCCGCGCCGGTCAAAGCCGAGCCGCGGCTCGGACCGTGCCGTGCCGTGCCGTGCCACGCCGCACACGCGTGTCGGCTTAATTGCCGTCATTCGATCAAGAACGACATCGCGGCGCATTGATAATGCGGCGCATTACAAATGACACGCACGGTCGCGATATACCGGGCTATAAATTACGCGTCGCGGCGCCTATACACGGCGTGCCGGCAGAAATGCGTGCGCCGTCGCCGCGCCGCCGGTGAAATTGATGTTTTTATTGTTGTTAGCGTTACGACGCGATTTCATGAATCATTGCCGTCGCGGAATTGAAACGTCGCTTTACTTCTCGCGTGTGAAACACTCCGCGGATAATTCGATTTATCGATACTGTGTGATGATGATCCGCTTGAAACGGACGCGTGCTCTATCTCGTATTCCGCTTGTACGACTATTGTCGGCTGTCTAAAGCGCCTTTTCCGCGAAGTTGTAGCCGCGTGCTTACATACGCGGTGTATAAAGTGTTCCGGAAATTTACACGACTTGACGCGATGACGCAATATTGATATATGATAAAGAAAAGCGAGAACATAACTCGAGTCAGGTTCGGATCGTATTTACGCGATGCTAATGCGAGAAGTACGGGTATAATTATGCGCAGACGGACTTACTATAATAATGTCAAGGTTGTTGGTGAGGTGATCCGGTAAAACGCGTTTGCTCACTTCCTCTTCCGGCATCCCGTCGAACCTGTCGTGCTTCTTTCTCTCTTTGTACGTCTTTGCGCGTTTCTTGGCCTCCGCGAGCTCCGCTCTGAAAGAAAAAAAAGAAATACAGATACAGAGGGCCTTAATAATACGCTGGATTCCTTTATGCTGTGTCATACGATTCAGCGCGAAAGGCGCGCAACTATTTCTTTCGATCGACAGGGGATGCGGACTTTCCGCGTTTACTTTTTGTCCAAGCCGGCGAACTCGCGCGCGTCTCGGACACTTTGCGTTTCGATTTGTGACACTGTAACACAATGTAACGTTTTGTATCGGCCGGGGACTTGTAAGCCGTCGTGAATACGCGCGAATAATGCACAGATGAATAAGCTCGGATCCCGAGATAAAGTGACGATAGCGAAAATGCAATTTATGATCCTTACATTTCGCAGCGAAAACTTCTCGGATAATACAATGAAATGAAAACCATTTTTTGATATCAGGGATATAAGTATTAGTAAATATGAATATATTTTAATGCGAGTTGAAACACTGCGAGCAAAATGTGTAAATTAATTTAGTTTTGCAGCGCAACGCAAATGACTGACTACGTTAATTAAAGTATATATTTGCGCATGCCGTTCTTCTTTTCAAGTTTCACGCAACGGTGGCGCGCAGTTTCGTAAAAAAAAATGCTGATAGGGGACGCAGGGAAGCAGAATATTCATACGTCAGCATAATGGGCCTTTGTTTAACTACTACAAGATATTCAATTATATAAATATCGATGTACATCACATGTGTCAAGAGGATATGAATAATTTTTTTCTTAAAATCTTCAATTAACGTCTTAATGAGCACATTATCTTCTGACGTATCTCTGTAATAACGGCGCGCATCTGATCGTATTACGTTCCTAATATGCGGAACTATTTTTAAGTTTTTCGGCCGGCTTCACAAAAATAAGCGTAACTGAAGATCCTATCGGATCAGCAACATGGTGCCCGGTCAGACGGACATTGTTAGCAGAGCGGGTATTTTTAACCGTGGCTGCATGCAAATATATAACTAACTGTGGTTATATCGAGTCGCGGCTTCGTGGCCGGCTTGTGTTCCTTTTCAGCTTCGTTTCTCTTTAGGATCATTATCGTAATTATCAATTATAATAATAATCTTCTCTAGCCTGGATCTTGTGAATTCTGAACAATTTTTTATTTTAAAGATGTTTAATATTAATTTAATAACTTTAATCTTCTCTAATCTTCGGGACGGCCGTTGATATAAACCACGCAGGAGTATGGTTTCACCATGCCCGTCCTTAAAGGGTTAAGACCGTAAACAGATTTTGACGTTGCGCCGTCAACTTCACACGCCCATGAACGATATTTCGCGGCGAGCTTTTATAAAGTTAAATTATTATTTTTTTTAACACCGAATCTTAACACGATGAATACAACAGCCTCGTGTTCGTGTATTAAAAATTTACCACAATTTTTTTTATAAAATTTATAATTTAATTATATAACAAGGACTCATGTAATCCATAATTTTCGCAAAGTCGTAGGATAAAAAAAAACGTCAAACTGCGAAAATTTTGAATCTAGTTAATATAACAGAGTTAATATAATAGCGATCGAACGTTACGCCACAATTGATTACGTATGCTAGACTCTTACTCTTCGGGGGTGAGTATCATCTCCGACTTTTTTTTGCGGCCTCGCTTCTTCGGCTGATGCGCCAGCTGTGGATTGACGCTGGCGGCGCCGTTCATCACGAGATTCATCTGATGATGTTGTGGCCCGGGCAGCGCCCCGGGCGGTGTCGACGTGGGTGTACCCAGCCCAGGTTGGGCGCCGCCCGGACACGTCATGTTCTCGGGATTGCCGCCGCCGCCGCCGCCGCCGCCGCCTGGACTGCTCGCCGTCCTCATGCCGCCCATCGACATCTCCTCGTCGACGAACGAATACGGGTCCACTGGCGTCTCGCATTTTATCGCGACCTAGAAAAGAATGTCAGCAAACGTTGGTAGATACGTCGCGCTTATCATTTTCGGCGCCGTCGCGTCCACCGGAATAATGCAAGGATTTTCGAGACTTCCGCATCGAAATGGCTTCATGAAAGTGCTCGGATCAAGGACGAAGGATAGAAGAATTCTGGAGAAAGTGTTTGGTGTTTCTAATCCTTTGTTCCCTTATTTAAAGTAAAATATATCTTGACCAGATGGGACGTTTTCGATTTAAAATTAAAACGTGTAATCTGAATATGATAAAATATTACAGGTCAAAATTTCGAACATTTCACGATAAATTCCGACGCGTTCTTTCTCTATTGGGATATTAAGGGCAGACCGTATTATCGTATTTACTGACCGAATTTCTCGCGTTTCCCTGAATAATACATACGGATGAAGGGAAGGAAAATGCTGGCGCACCGGTTCGCGACGAATTATTCTTGCGATATCCTGAATCGCGACGACGGCTGATGTCCCAGCCTAATTTAATTTCACCTCGAAATTACACCGCGGAATTTTTCGTCGCATCCGCAAGATTCGCAGGCGGCCGGCTGCGGAAAAATGAAATTTCTCCTGAACACGTACAATCCCGACGTAAAACATGTACCGACGATCACGGACACGTACAGCGGCGATCATAAAACCCATGTATCCCAGCCGACCCTATATGTGTGTGTTTTTCTCTTTCTCTCTCTCTCTCGATGCCCTTGGGGAAATAGTAATAGCGCAATTGCCGCATGGACCGAAAATACGCGGCCACGTACAACGTATCAGCCATTCGCGGTTGTAAAATGTGCAGCTGTGTCTCTTTTTTTGCAAATTGCGCGTGTTACGGACTGACGCGATCACCGTTCTTCTCCCGTTGCACCTTTTCGTACCGTTTGCTTTTTGCATTAGCTAAAATCAACTGAGGTTTCAGTGATTTTCTCTGTCTCTTTTTGAATATGGCGTTAGAAAAAAGAAGAAAGAGAGATTCGAGAGTAACGTTATTCCACGTAGGTTACGTAGGCTAATTGCTTTTGATGAGTGACAAGTTATAGTATAGGAGTTAAATATCTAGTAGAATGTAGAACGGTTCGGTAACATAAAGGGGTCAAATTATCTGGAAAGTTCCTTGTGGATAGATAGAGTTTTGTCGTGGCGATATTAACGATGTGGTATTAGATGATTAACGCGACAGGTATCTGAGTGACGTTTCGTTCCCTGACTCTTCTCGACGTTCGCGCAAAAATCCGATATCGTGGACTAAAATAAATGCTTGAAGCGCTATGAAATCGGAAATCCCGCCCGATGAAATCGGAAATTATTCAACAGGCCGTTATTGTATTCTGAAGGCTGTCAATAACGCGATAATTTAGCGTACCGATATTCGCATATTCGGCACTCTTAATTTTAAATGATCTCGCTATCGTTCGTTTCATTTCAGCGGACGCTGAATGCAAAAGTGTATCGTGTGTCTCGCGAGAACGCGGCGTCTCTCCGCATCTATTTTCGGCCAGAAATCTGTAAGGAAAGGAGCGATCTTACGACAGGCCGCGTTTAACGTACGTCTCGAGAGAAAAACCCCGCCGGTTTTTCTGATACTCGCAGAAATGAAGGCACAAGAGATTACACGTATCCGGTCGGGGCGGGGTCAAGAATTTTTTTTATCGCGATACACATAAACATACCCTCGTTTGCAATTTTCGACCTGGTCCGACTATATGGCCTTCCCGTATTCTGGCACCACCCGTGGACTTGACCCGGTGATAACCCTGTCGAAATCGAGGTCGAAATCCCACGAAGATAAGGACCGCACTGGACTGGTAGTTACCGATAACGCGTTATCCCTATCCTTTTTCACGGGATTCGAGCTTCGCTCGAAGGTCGCCGACAATATTGCGCGCGATAAGAACATACGTGTGCGCATGCCATATTGTTATTATTTCGAGACAAAAGGACCGTGGCGAGTGTCGCGAATGTAGTCGCATTCGCGACAGATTTGTTTCATCCGGCGATTATTATTATTAGAGTACAATATTTGCGTTAAAATACAAATAAATACAAGATTTTTATTGCGAACCGTTGGTTGTGTAAAGGATGTTTTGAAAAGCCATTAATCTATGTGTTTCGGGAAAATATCCGTTATTGCGATAATAAAATAAACATGTACTGTACCCCTGCTTATCTAACTTCGTCTCTTTGTGTGTTTCTTCTAATATAGAAAAGTAGCGACTAAATCATATTTGAAAGAAAAGAGATTAATCAGAAAAATGTTTCAATTTGATTGATTTTTATTTTCTATTTTCTACGATATCGCGATTTTTGTAAGAATTACGTATCTCTTTTAACTATACATCCCTTCAATTATTTCGGAAAAAAATCACCTTGAATGGTTGGACTCGCTTACGCAAAAACAATCGAACGTTGGGAAACCTAGGGAAGAGTTAAGTAAAACAATGTGAAGCGGGATCAAGAAAAGAGAAGCGTGATAATGCGAACTCGATAAATCCGGGACGTGTTCACGGTTAACAATTCGATCAACGGAAATTCGCTTCGCTCGTCGGCCGTTCATTCGTTAAAATGAGGAGCTGGTAAAACCGAGATCGATCGGTCGTCACGTCACGAGATAATTTTCGAGAAAAAGACTATCGATCCCGACAGCGGATAACAACTTTGCGGATATAATGGCAATTTAATATCGGATGAAATTTCTGTAATTCGCGCGCGATAGCGCCGATAGCCAAATTGGGGAGCTGGGCAACCTGCAATTAATTCATGAGCGGAAAATGCGCGTTTCTGATTGAAATCCCTGAAAATTACCACCGTCAAAATATTCATCTGGATCGCATTTATTTTGCCAGTTGTAAAGTGAAAAGCTTTTATTTTGCCAGTTTGTAAAGTGAAAAAGCCAAATGCCACTTGAAAGATGTAGTAACTTCCTTCCTTCATATTTCTTCCACCGTATATGAATCGTATCTTACATTTTCTAATGTCGCAGACGACAAAATTATCATAAAATTACCATTTTATCAACTGAGAAATTAAATTATGTTTTCTTTTCATTAACAAATCTAATTATCAATATAAAGATAAAAAAGGACTTTTAATTGAATAACAATGGGTATATACAATGGGTAACGTTAAAAAAGCTGATATGTTTTTGTTAGAAGAAATTCTCTTTTCGCATATTTTGCGTTAAATTTCTCAATCACATAACAATCGAAGAAATTACGCAAGATATAAACGACCGTGGAACGAACTTGTTCAGAGATTCTTTCGTCCGCGTATTAAGCGGACAATAAGTAACACCGCGCGCAGGGCCCATCCATGGTTTTCATTGTACCGCGACAGAGGTAATGTTGCGTAAGTAGATCGTAAAACTAACATGAAAATGCAAATCGCCGCGCGCGGCATTGCGAAAATCCCGGAGTGGCGATTGCGCGCGTCTTTATTGCAATTTATTGCTCGTAATTTTGATTGCGAGGTGCTAGATACGCCGATACGGCGGTTCCTAATGAGAACCGCCTTTTTATTGGCCAATAAGTTTGGCATTTTACGCGCGACTTTTTTTCTCCTCAGTACATAATAACATATTTTCTCCATCGATTACGCGGAGATACGTCGCGATCGATGGATATATACACGTGATCGCAAAGATTCACTGTTCCTTATCAATCGCGATCGCATCATTTATAATTTAATTGTCACCCTTTTTTAAGTAAACACGATCGCGTTCTATCTGTAGATTTAAAAGATCGCGTACTTTATTGTGTTGCAGAATTTCAAGATAATAATCGTATCGCGTGGACAGTAAATTTCGTGTTATTACCACTGTGTTACACGAACATTATTTTATTAGAGCGAAAGAGAGTATTTAATCGTTCCAAATTATATCGTATATATATATATACAAGGGATGTTAGCTCTTTTATTTATACCGACAATGTAGATGATCGAATGTGTGCGAGCGTTAATTTCAGATTGTCATGTTAGCGCAAATTAGACGAAATGAAATGCTGCGTTTAATTCAAAATTTTGACGTAAGATCGATTGAGAATACGCCGTACGGCCATTACACGCAACCTCGCGGCGTAATTACAAGCAATCACGTGCATATATATATATATATATTCTGCAAGCGTAGCATTATTCCCGACATTTCAACGTTGTAACGTTCCGCCGCGAAACGTCTCGATCGTTGTTCCTCCGAGTATTACG